ATTATCATTATTATTGAAATACACTGAAACTCAATTGAAACCAAAATGTCCTCACAAACAGCTTCAACCTCATGTCAAATCTCGGCCGACTGAATTGATCCATTTATATAATTTTGAATAGCAGAAGAGATTGAAAGAAAATCCTACCTTAGGAGATTGTTGAGATGTCGAGGCCTCCGGTGCAGCATATATACCCGCCCCAGGGTTCACGGTCATGGACTGACGCATGAAATTAGCAGCACCATAGTCGGACAGCTTGGCACGCCAACATGTATCCCGTTTCCAGAGCATCACATTAGAGCTACTAATATCGCGATGAACGATGGGAAATGGTTTGCTGAGATGGAGGTAGTTGAGTGCACGCGCAACATCTAGAGCAATAGTGATAATTTCTTTTGGTCGCAGCGATCGACGCGATAACACCGCACGAAGGTCACCATCGAGACGTTCAGTGATAAACAAAGGGACACCGTCATCATTCGTAGCGCCAATGAATTGGAGCAGACAGGGATGTCTACAGCGTGCAGCTATACTCATTTCTCGCTCAAAAAGCCTTCGATTATGTGGTGACAGAATAAGTTCGTGGATTTGCTTAACTGCTACTTTACAGCTTCGAAAAATCCCGACCTCGACCTTTCCCCAGGCACCGTTGCCAAGTAATTGGCCTGTTAACGCCACTTCCTCCCGTCCAATTATCCAATCACGTGGCTCTATGAGATGATGGTCATCAAGAATACTTTGTGAGCTGTTCACGGTTGTCTGAAGCTCTAATATTCTCCGCTCGCTGTTGGCAAGGGAACTTACGCTCTCTCGTAGTCGTTGTTCGTAAGATTGTCGCTCCTGAGCAAAAGAGTCCGATTCTTCTCGTCTTCGACGTCGAAGCCACTCGTGTAGAGCTTGAAGGTTTAATCTTGTGGAGAGCTCATCTTGGTATCGCTGCTCACTCGCTTGAAGACTCTCTTCTCTTTCCTCCAGCTCGTGTTCAAGCGTTTGTAGAAGCAATCGTTGGTTCTCAAGTTCATCCATGTGCTGAACACAGTCGTTTTGCATGCGCTGAAGCTCTTCTTCTAACCTTTGACAGCTTTGATTTTCTCTCTGCACCGACTCAAGTTCTTCTTGTACTCGTCCAAAGACGATTTTACTCTCCAGAAGTAGTTGTTCATATGACTGTAGCTCTTGAACAAACGAATCCGATTCCTCTCGTCTTTCACGTCGTTCTTTGACAAGCTCATTCTCAGTCGACTCCCTCGAGCAACGCAATTCACTGTTTTCAAGTTGAAGGCGCCGAAGTTGATCTTCAAGGTTTACTCTTGTGGAACGCTCATCTCGGTAGTGTTGAGCACAAGCGTTTCGCATTCGCTTAAGCTCTTCTTCTAATCTTTGCCTAGCACTTCCCTCCTCAGAAAGCAACCTCTTTATTTCTTCAAGTTCTGTCTGCTTGTCTTGTAGCTGTTTATCGCGTATCCCGCGTAAAACCTTTTCTTCGCCAAACTCTCGCCTAACTTCCACTAAGTCGGATTGAACGTTTTTTAGCTGGGACGACGATTCACGCTCTTGTGTCAGCTCTTGTTGCAGTTGACGGACTGTAACTTTCTGACTTTTAACTTCTCTTTCTAGAAGTGCTATACTTTTATCTTTCTCCATAACACGGCTTTGATTTTCTCTCTGCGCCGACTGAAGTTGTTCTTGTATTCGTACAAAGCTGCTTACACTCTCTCGAAGTCGTTGTTCATATGATTGTCGCTCTTGAGCAAACGAATCCGATTCCTCTCGTCTTTGATGTCGTTCTTGGACAAGCTCATTCTCAGTCGATACCCTCGAGCTACGCAATTCACTGTTTTCAAGTTGAAGGCGCTGGTGTTGATCTTCAAGCTCGACCTGCTGTTGTTGCAGCTGACGGACTGTAGCTTTTTGACTTTCAACTTTTCTTTTTAGAAGTGCTATACTTTCATCTTTCTTCATTAGACGGCTTTGATTATCGCTCTGCGCCAACTGAATTTCTTCTTGTATTCGTTCAAGGACGATTTCACTCTCACGAAGTCGTTGTTCATATGATTGTCGCTCTTGAGCAAACGAATCCGATTGCTCTCGTCTTCGACGTCGTTCTTGGACAAGCTCAACAAACGAGTCCGTTTCCTCTTGACTTCGACGTCGTTCTATGACAAGCTCATCCTCAGTTGACTCCCTCGAGCAACGCAATTCAGAAATCAACCTCCTTATTTCTTCAAGCTCGGCCAGTTCTTCATCGTCTAGCTCATGATCAGTGTTCACAGTGTAATTCATAAACTCCCGAAGCAGCTTTGATAATACTTCATTGTGTTCAAGAAGACTTTTTTTCCCTTTTAGTTTATTTTGCAGACTCTCAATTCTGCTCATTACATCTCTATTCATGGTTATGTAGCTTTCAGTGGCTTCATCGTTGCTTTCAGGAATGGCCTGGTGAATTCTTTCTTCTAATCTTCTTAAAGCATCGTCGTTTTCCTCAATAACATTTTCCAATTTTCTTTTACCATCATTTATCATTTCGTTCTGATTGATGATCAAAGCTACCATGTCTTTTCTGTTTTTCGGTATTTTTACACCTATTTCGCATTCTTGAGAATTGTCTTGCTTTTGATTCTTGGGGATAAAAACAAAAGTAATTTTAGGGGTAAGAGTTATAATGGTAATGAGCTTAAAGTAGAACAACATTTCTCCCTATCTACCTCATTTCATCAAACTATATATTTGTACTATTCGAGTCGTGTCGCCATTGGTGGCTTGATTGTTTTGACTTCAGTTCAACCTCCCCTTAATTCCTTCCCAACAGTCTGCCTTTCATATTAATTTGAATTTATCTTAACTGCTATTAACAGCCGTTTGCTCCAGTTGTCCAGCATCAATTTACTATCCAATGTATACGCATATGAAACGTTCCACTTGACGAGAGGTGTCTTTTTTGATGGTTCAATGAGCTTTCATGTCTCAACTAAAAAACTTTACGAAATAAATTTAAGGTCCAAAACATGATATAAACAGAATGATGAACAATACATTTCAGTTCATGCACTTATGCTAATAGTACTACATGTATATAGTATACATTGGGGGCGATCTAGACAACCCAATAACTTTGAAATGCATATAAAATTAGTACATAACAAAATAATAATATTATTATTCAAAAAACGCAGGAATCATGAGCAAACCGAGACTGATACTACGTTGATATAAAAAACACTTAATTAAAAGACAATTATTACTCTGTTATATATACCTATATACCTATATATCTACCTTAAAAAAAATTAAAACTGCAAAATTGAATTTGATAAATTGCGATCATTCTTGCTATTTGGGAACATCGTTACTTTTCAAAACACCACCATATTCATCCATCAAATGGTAAAATAACAAGTAAAATATACTTCAAGTATTTTCAGATGTCCTCAACGACAAGCAGTGGTTTCAAACAGCATTAATTCGTATTTAAGGAGAAATATGCCTGAACATGCAAATATTTTAAATATTTTTTAAATGTTTAAACATTTTGCCTCAAAACTGTGGGAAACAATTCTTATGGACATAAAGATATATAATCGTAACTATACTTTTTTATTAATATTTTAGCAAATTTGGCTGCCAGGGTTAATTAACTCCATAGCTTTCGGAACAACCCTGGGCCACTTTAAACACAAAGCAAGACACAAAGCAAAACAGCGGGAATAAAAAGTTAAGAAAACAACTTAAGTCAGCCCTTTGAACCAGCCCAACCCAGCCCAGCCGACTTCATATAATCAGACCCTTAGCTAGTCAAGACTTACCCGATTTCCCATATTTTTTTTCTTGATCAAACCTTGTAAAATACTTCAACTTCTATCAACATACGGATACTGATCATTCGATGCAGATTTAACAACTGAAGATGAATGATCCGAGGAATTCAGGTCATCTATCAGCAGAGTACCAAAGGTTCGGCAAATGATAACGATCCTAAATTGTCTTTAAAACTCAACAAAAAATTCAAGGGTTCGACATCTTTCGAAATCTTTTAGTGTCATGCTAAAACAACTTGAATGACAAAAATTGGTGACCCGAAAAATCATGTGGAACATCATGTCTTGCTCCATAGATATTTTTCCCGGAATTCGAAACGAGTCGTTAAACAACTCTTTTGACGTTATATTACCCACAATCCTTTTCGCGTTAAAGTTGTAATTACTCGTAATTTTGGTCACTTTCGGCGAAACTTTGTCATATGTGAATCCTACACACCATATAGCGCAATCTAGTAAAAAAAAGCATTTCCTTAACAATAAACTGGAACTTAATCGACCTTTTCCATCAAACCCTTCCTTTGTATGTCGAGTGAGTTGAACCTATTTCAAATTTAATACAAAAAAAACATAAAGATATGAACAATCTTATATTTCATAGTTCCTCCATTTTGTTCCTACTACAGTATTCGTATACATTTGATCCACCGCAGTAAAACCTGCGGACTGCACGTTTTGCAAATAGATAAAAAAGAGAGTATTTACGCTTCTACTTAAATTCATTTGAACACATTATAAAGCTCCAACATAATTGTTTTNACGCCGTCATCGTTCGTGGCGCCAATGAATTGGAGCAGACAGGGATGTCTACAGCGTGCAGCTATACTCATTTCTCGCTCAAAAAGCCTTCGATTATGTGGTGACAGAATAAGTTCGTGGATTTGCTTAACTGCTACTTTACAGCTTCGAAAAATCCCGACCTTGACCGTTCCCCAGGCACCGTTGCCAAGTGATACGTCTYTAAGCGTCACTTCCTCCCGTCGAATTATCCAGTCACGTGGRTCTATTCGACGATGGTCATCAAGAATACTTTGRGAGTTGTTCACGGTTGTCTGAAGCTCTTGTATTCTGCGCTCGCTGTCTMCAAGYGAACTTAGGCTCTCTCGTAGTCGTTGTTCGTAAGATTGTRGCTCCTGAGCAAAAGAGTCSGATTCTTCTCGTCTTCGACGTCGTTCTTGTACAAGTTCATTATCAGTCGACTCCCTCGAGCAACGCAATTCATCGTTTTCGAGTCGAAGGCGTCGAAGTTGATCTTCAAGGTTTAATCTTGTGGAGCGCTCATCTTGGTAGCGCTGCTCACTCGCGCGTAGTCTGTCRTCTCTTCCCTGCAGCTCGTGTTCCTGCGTTTGTCGAAATAATCGTTGGTTCTCAAGTTCYTCCATGTGTTGAACACAAGTGTTTTGCATTCGCTGAAGCTCTTCTTCTAARCTTCGCTTTGCGCTTCCCTCCTCAGAAAACAACCTCCTWATTTCTTCAAGCTCGGCCTGCTTGTCCTGTAGCTGTTTGTCGCGGATCCCGCGTACAATCTTTTCCTCGTCAAACTCTCGRCTCACTTGRGCTAAGTCGGATTGAACTTTTCGCATCAGGGTCGACGATTCACGCTCTTGTGTTAGCTCTTGTTGGAGTTGACGAACTGTAYCTTTCTGACTCTCAACTTCTCTTTCTAGAAGTGCTATGCTTTCATCTTTCTCTATAAGACGAATTTGATTTTCTCTCTGCGTTGACTGAAGTTCTTGTATTCGTTCAAAGCTGCGATTTCGTTCGGCTCTCTCCAGTGTGAGAAGCTTTTGGTGGTGTTCCAGGGTATTTCTTTGTTCTTCACTGTGCTTACCTGTGATTGGGAACAATGTTTATTATTATAGAAGACGCATATTCAACAATCGTTACACTAAACTGCAGGTCAGGTGTATCGAATGGGATCATAGCAGGGTATTTTCGAAGTATACAAACTCTGGTTACAACGGACACATTCAAGGATGAAATTACCGAGCGCCCTCGGTAAATAGTGATGTCTAATCATATTTCTTTGGAAAAATGACTATTTCAGTATTGTTAGGACTGGATCTTTAAACGATCTCGACCCAGGGCTTATCTGATACATACTTCACTGCCGATGTATCAGCCAATTAGATCCCTATCGTAATGTTTGGATGAACAACAAGAAATCATGAATGCTGCAGAGGGTAGGTCATTAAGAAACTTTAGTTATTACCTAGTAATGAAATATGAGATTCCATCTTCGAGTGATGTTGTAAAATATCTCTCTCCTGTGGTCCATTTTCACTATAATTCTTGTCTTTCTCATTGTCAGCTTGACTATCGGCACTACTTGACGATGGTTTAGCTGAATCGTCACATGTTTTGGTGATCTTAGGAGGAGTATTTGGCTCCGCTGCTTCAGCCTCGGCCTTTTTCCTTCTACTTCTTGTGATTATCTTGTCCTGTCCTGTCTTGTRGTGTGTTGTCTCGTTTGTGGTTGTGTCTACCGTCTTTTTGCTTTCACTTTCTTGGKGAACATTTGATGCAGRCTTGAATAAAACGTTGAATATTTCACGGTTAAACAAGATATTTTACATATGTGCACTTTGAATTCCGTTACCACAGGCTTTATCTAGTGGTACTCTTTGTTAGTGATGCATTAAAATTCTAGTAAATATACTTCTAATAAAGGCTTGAATTCATGTTATACATCTGAGCTTGAAATAGGCAAAGTAAACTGACATTATTTCAGTTTCTAAGGGAAGAAAAAAAAAAGATGGCGCGTAACCCAGTATTTATGTTTTCGATGTCCACCAAAATAATAACATACACTGATGTAGACAAATGATTCAGAAAAAAAGGAGAGAGCCTGGGCATATTAGATAAAAAAGAAGACAGAGATTGGGGATAAAATCCAGTGAAGAAACAAAATAAAACAATTTTTTTAACGATAAGAAAATATATACGTACCGGTGTTTCAGCCTCTA